ATGCAAATGCCCAAATAATAGCAGCACGGATAGAAACACAACACAAATAAATCATAAAAAGCATCATATACGCAGGCATAGCAAACCAAAGTGAAGCAAATGAAATGGAGTCGTGTAAACAGGAAAACGATTATGAAGTATTAGGAGATTTTGTGGGAGAAAGTGCATTTCTCAAAAAGAAAAAAAATGTCAGCTCGAAGATAACAAATTTCCATTGTAATCAATTAGGCGGATTATTACATACACTGTATTAGTGATTTTCTAAAATGAACCGAAAAAAAATGAAATATGTCTAAAGCCTGTCTTACAAAATTAAAGAATATTCATTAAGCAAGCACAGAGAAACAGCTAGATAGGCGCATTAAAAAACAGGCAAAATCCTTACAATTCTTTCTTCCCATCGTACGGTCAACAATTTCCGGAAATGCTCCTTCATGTACGCCCAGCCAGGCAATACTGAAAAAAACAATAAATTCATAAAGTGAGACCAAAACGTTTGAATTTGCGTGAAAGAAATAAAATTCAAATAAATTTAAATTAACTTAAAGAATGCGAAAGAAAGAAATAAAATTTGCAATGAACTTGAAGTACATGTCGAAAGAACTCACTACCATCGTTCACTTCAATCATACAAAAAATGAAATCGCGATATTTTAACTTACTATTTTGCCACACTGAATCAGCCAGTTGACGTATGCCATCGATAATGGCTTGCAAGAATTCCGTTATTTTACCCACCGCCGAACTACCTGAAACAGTTAACTCATAATTCAAAACGCATACTTTCCCAAATATTCATGCTATTCATAACTGAACAATCCTCACCACAAATTCTATTCCTATTATATGAATAACACCTTTAAAGGGTACACACGAATATTATTCAATAATTCTCACTCACTAAAGAAAACTAAAAACTCGATTGCACAAATCGATCTGCAATTACACTGCGGTACCGAAGAAAATAAAAACATCTCTCAGAAAATGTTTGCAATAAAAAACAAAGAATGAAAATTACGTGATCAAAAAGATCCCTCACCTGTCCCATACACATACTCAGGTATGACATGAGCCTCATCTGCAGCACTCGAAAGATAATCACGCACGTAGAGCACGCGTGAATGAGCGCCCGAATAAGCTTAAAAAATATCATTCTCACAAAATTCAATCAAATCAACCAATTTCAATCACCAATCAACACCCAAATCCTCCCTAACCATTGGAATTTCCACCTTCTGTCACCACCTAAACTCACGACTAATCAAAAATCTACACAGTGAAATTTTTCATAGTTCCTTTACCATCGCTAAATGTTTTCGACACAGTTTTCTTTGTTGACTCGTATGTATTCGCAATTTTCCATTGTGAGGTCCACGGTTGCGATGCCACTGAAATAAATGGAATATGATGCTCATCGTCAAATCACTTGAAAAATACAAAAAGAGTAGAAACAGTAAAAATAAAAGGATACACTGCCATCGCAGTAACTTATACGCAGAACAAAAAATGCCACTGAAATGAATATTCCCACTTCAAAACATACGCTCATATCTGCTTTCTTCATAAGAGTTCTTCAGTCGTATTCGTACAAAATTTCAACGATCGCAGCTCATCATTTAGAGCTTAACATAGCGACAATTCCATCTAAAATTGAATCCAACTTACAAGTCGTTATCACTCGTTCTTTCGTTGCATGTGCTGCTGTACGGCCAGCGATCGCCAGTGAGCAA